GAAACCTCGTCTTTTGTAGGTTTCTACAACAGGCAGTTGCTGTCCATTTGAAATTTAGATTCAAGTTTATGGTTCTAATCGATTTTTTACGGAATTAATATAATGTAATTTGCATTCCATAAAAGAAACATGGTGGATAATAGGATTGTTTACTTATATTAAGGATATAATTATCAATATTTTTCTCTAAGTTTTTTAAGATTTCACATTTTTTGTGCGTTTTAAAATTAGCACCTTTCTTTAATATTGATTGTAATTATCTCTGACAACTTAAGTTTCCTCTAACAATATGATTATGAAAGACGTCTTTAAAAACACTATTATTACAGTTATAAGGTAAGTTGTCAACTTTTATTTTATTAAATTATTCAATGAATTTTTATAATTGAAGAAAAGAGGTCATATAGGTTTATTATATTTAAAACTGACTGTTAAGGAGAAAATATTTTTTTTGAATACTTTTATGGATTAGGGAACGTAAATATAAATCATCATAAACCTTATATTTAAAATCAATTAATATATATTTATTCTTTCTTTACTGAAAGGAGTATAGGTATACGATTTAAATTTTTAAATAATTTTATTCAGCATACCGGGACAGAAAGACTAACTTCGAATTGCTTAGCTTCTCTCCGCGTTCTTGTGTTGTACTTGAATAAGTCTTCAGGAGAAAAGGAGGAGGTTGGGAGTGAGAACTATGTAACTGATAAGATCTTTTAAGGTAGGATGAATAGTTCTATTTTATATCTTATAATTCTATTTGGTTCTATTTAATATCTTATAATTCTATTTGGTTCTATTTAATATCTTATAGCTCTATTTGGTTCTATTTAATATCTTATAGCTCTATTTGGTTCTATTTAATATCTTATAGTTCTGTTTGGTTCTGTTTAATATCTTATATTTCTATTTGGTTCTATTTAATATCTTATAGCTCTATTTGGTTCTATTTAATATCTTATAGTTCTATTTGGTTCTATTTAATATCTTATAATTCTATTTGGTTCTATTTAATATCTTATAGCTCTATTTGGTTCTATTTAATATCTTATAGTTCTATTTGGTTCTATTTAATATCTTATAATTCTATTTGGTTCTATTTAATATCTTATAGCTCTATTTGGTT